CCAAAGACAAAAACATGACCATTATTAAGAGTAAGAGATACTTTTCCTCCTGAACTTATTACTTTTGGAGTAAACTCAATTGATCTTTACTCGTACATTTCTAGACTAGCACATTTACTAAGCAACATTGCTTCTGCTAAACGCGCGTAAATCAAAACTTATTGAATTTCAAAGTCCGCCGTATTAGCCTCTAATAACCTAACAGATACGTTGTACAAATTCGAACAAATTTATTTCCCAATAACTTCTTTGTGATATATTTATTAGACTATTATATATAGCAGAAATTTTAGATTTGAACACATATTAGAATGTTTGTCTTGGCAGCCCTGTATTTACCCGTCATTCACTGCTTAGAAGTGCGCTTCTTTTCTTTCCCAACTAAAACAGACACGAACTCATGGCCCACGCAAGAGATTTATTTCGGAATACGAGAAAATATTAGCTCTTGTCTAATGTCTTCGCGCTGGATGAGTCCTCATCGACATTTCAGTTACAAAATAGTATGTACAGTAGAAGGATTAACTAGATATAGCTAAAAAATCCGTCATAGAGGAACAAAGTGTCATTTTATAGTGGAATTATAATGCATAAAAATGCGACTGCCTGGGAGCCCATAAAAAGGCCTTACTTCCAATGATTTGTCCTTTCTGAACTTTTTTCGTCCTTTGGTTATCTAGGGCCTTTTTCGAATTGCTTACCTACTGTCAGCTGAAAACTTAGGTCCATTGGGTTTTTAAGTGTGGCATGTTTAGGAGACGCTTCAGTGAGTGTAGACGCACTTTAGGCCTAAACTAAAAGGTTATTTCCAATTTCAGAGAACGAAGTTTTAGTGCTAATTTGAGAACGCTTTAGGCCCCGAATCGGAACCATTCTTTAGCAAATGCTTTAATAGGTGTATATATTAAATAAATTTTCCGTAATAAAAACAATCTACTTCATCCTTTTTTGATTAAATTTATTAGAACGTCTCGTCGATATAGTGACAGCTGGTATAATTATATTGTATAACCTATGTTTTCTAATTCTGTTACGATTTATTTACATCCATAGATGCAGACGGTTGCTTGGTTCGGTGTACACGTTACTACAATTGTAAAACAATATAACAGCACACTCCATAACTTTGTGCGAACTTAACTCTGTTCAAAATACTACAGTTAACTCATAAAATTCTTAAGAACTCTAGCCAACACCAAATAAATTAAAAGCAGACATGTTCTACAGGCCTGTATAATGGTGAATAATTACATATTTAGATGTATACATTGGCACCTTATATCAGGACAAATAAATTAACATTAAGTTATTGAAACAAATGCACTTGCATATTTTTTGCATATTGCAGTTGTTATAATAACGTAGTCTTGTGGTTATAGCAATGTAATATGGGCTTGCTCATTGCAGATTGACAAAACAAAACGCTTTTTTTTGTTGGAATACCAAAGAGAATGATACGTCAGGGAAACCTAGTATATATACGTAAGTACTCCAATTTTTGTAATGTTTGAAAAGTGCGCTTCAGTTTAGGCCAAAAAGATCATTTCACGAAGTTGCTGCTTCATGCCATCGGGATAACGTTAAGAAGCTATGATTCTGAGCTTCCGAACGCTAGGCCGTGAACTTTCATTTTAGGTTAAAAATCTACAACATGTTAAAAATAGTTAACTTATATGCCGTAGGTATATGTTTTAGTATATGTCATATGTACATAGAACTGTCCATATATCCGTAGTCACGTGCTTCAGAATTCATAATATTTTCGGAGTTACACTGATATTTCCTTGTCATTTATCAACGCTTTTTAATAAGCTTCGGTTGCCTATTCTTAGGTGATGAGATAAATCATAGATGAAACAAAAACATTGCATTATGTGTATATATATATATTTTTTTTTCCGTATAATATTTATTTGCATGTATATACATTCTATTGTTTTATATTAAATAATCAATATATCACCAAGATACAAATAAATATCTAATAGCTTAACTTATGAATTGCCGCCGTTTGGTATGATTTAAAATCGACAAAGCATACGCATTCACTCACCCTCGGCCGCACACAAGCAGATGATGTGTGTATCATTATATGTTTACGCAATAGATGGTGGATTTTGTTATTTTTTTGCTATCCTTCAAAGATTTTCTTCAGACTCCAAGGATCCTATACCTTGAACTCAATAAAGTGTGTATTCCATCTTAAAAGTCTGTCCAAACTTAGGTCATCGTAAACGAAAAATGCTTATTTGTAAAATAAGTCTCAAATTTTTGGCCTCTTTTTCCACTGAATTATTATTCAATAGTCGCAATAATGTCCCGAGGTTTTTCATCGCTGACCATTCCCTTCAATAAGATACGTTTTGAACATTCGAGGTTAATCAGAGATAGCAATTAAAACCCTATACCTACTCATCTATGAAGTGTCATAGCAAAAACTTTAAGCGTCGTTGCTGTTAGCTTAATCGGCCCTAGAATGGCTTAAATAAATAACAGGGTCATAAGACCATTTCGAAATATTTGTAGTTTCTGATTTGTTTAAATGTCGACTATTTCTTTTATGAAATTTTGTATACAAATGCAGGAGTGTGTAATACAAAAATAGGCTTACGGTCTCAGAAGAAGTAGGCCTACAGTTAGAGAAATTATACAGATGATTGTATGTAGAAAAACCTGTGTAGATAATGATTAAATACATGAGAATGGATATATGCTTAATATAATAGGCAAGTGCAAAACCGATACATAAAAAAGTAAGTAAAGAGTCAAAATCGCCTATTTTTAGCATCTCGCGAAACTTCAATGCGCACATCTATTATAACTATTAGAGCAACTTGTCGACTCATACACTTAGTTTAGCGCACTGCTTCGACGAAAACTTTGCGACTAAGCTATGGGAAGACATTGGCCAATGTTATTTCTCCACTTCCTAGGTGTTTCAATTCCAAACCTATAGGAAAAGTGTGAATACGGAAATGGCTGTATAGTATACGTATGCCGATCTTCCTTAGTCATCATAATCCATTTTCGTTGGTCCTTAAAGCAATCAATTCTGGCACGGTAACATAATAAAGTTCCAACTGAAGTAATAACATGTGCCTCTCTGCCGATTCCTGTCGAATTCTATTTTACTTACAAGCAATACTCTCTACTGAAGTTATGAACCTATATCCATTTTTTCCATCATTTTTACCTCATCTGCGTATAGTTTAGTTAGCACGGTTACATTTTCATACAAAAAGGACGAAACATGTTTGCATGTCGCCGAGGCGTACACCACGGTTGCTCACATCCACTAGTTTTAAGTAGTGATAGTTAATTTCTTTTGTAAAGGCTTTTTATTTTGTTTTGAGGTGGTTCATTTTTCGTTCTATTTATATATACAGGGCACTATACTATTAAACGATAAAAATTATGCCGTGTATTTTAGATATTGCACACTTAGTTTAAAATTATAATTAGTATTATATCAATATCCTTCTCTTACTCCTGTTTTTGTTTCATTTGAACAGTATAAAAATGTGTCCACAAAAGCAAGAAAATGTGTGTTCGTTCAATTCATCTATGGGCCCTAATATACTTCTGCAACCATAACGAGCGCACCGGAGGCATTCTTTAGATGAGTATATACCGCATAGCTTCACCAGAAATGTAGTATTAATAAGCTATAATATACGAGCGTTGAAGAGGTACCGTATGCTAAACTTTATGGAACAAACAACTCAACTTTTATTAGGTTTAGGTTAAGAATTAAATTGTAGATAAAAGTATCCACATTTACATACATTATAACTTATTCTACTGGCTTGACTGATACCAGTCAACTAATTTAAGGGACACTCTTTGATCATTACTGTCATATTTGTGATATTAACTCAAGATAAGCCACGAAATAGAAATAGCCTTTTGTGATATTTTAATAATAACCAGAGCAAACGCTACAATATTGAATTGAACTTTTGCCGTAAATCTTAATGAGCATCGCTAACATTACTTTTCGTTGGACTGAGTTCCATTAAAATGTTTTATTGAAGAATTTGAAACGTAACCCATTTGGACTTTCAAAACAGGATTATCTATATATTATTAGAATGTCAAAGTAAATTCTTTTATAAAAGAAGTTTTCGTTGGCATTTCGTGTTTTTACTATGGTTATGTGAAATACTTGAGCATGAGGAATTCAGTTTCAAACGTTTTTCTTGTTGGCAATACATGAGATATAACCTGGTACGACGTAATGGTAAACGGACAGATTTTCATTTCGCCATAGCCAATCTCAAATGTTTCCAAAAAGAAAATTGTGTAAACGTTCTTTAGTCTTTTATATTAGAATCATAGAAAAACCAATAAATGAGCTTCTTTTACTCATTTAATATAAGGTACTCTAACTAGAATTCGTATCTACAATTATGATTAGGTACCTCGTTCTTTTCATGTTACCGAGAACAAAAAAACTGCTGCAAAACAGAAGGCCTGAGAGATCCATAGATGATCTGGTTGTGACCTAAAGAGACATTCTGCCGCGTAATATGATACAACCGCTGACTACAATTACATAGATCAACCTTTATCCATTTGAGACTTCGCATATCTACGAACTCCAAAAGTGAGTACATATAAAAGTGGTTTTCTAGTAACACTCCAACACTTTACTATTGAAACAGTTTGTCTGGGTGTTATTTTCGTAATTGGTTTTCATGAAGAGTAACTTGAACAGTACTACAATCTAATTAATTACTGTCTGTAGATCCATTTTGAATGACTGACAACTAATAGTACTAAATACTAATATACAAACCAAACCTCAAAGGTCAGTCATTCCGTATTTATATAATTTGTTTGCATTTCATTGATTCTTACATGAACACACGTACACATATGCTAAGTGTAAAGTTCTATAGACAGAGAACGAATCAAATGGGTGAGACACCCTAAGAGGGACTTGTAATTTTGCTTGTTTTCTAGTTTCTAGAATATTACCTACATTCACCGGACCAATCTAAACAGCTCTGTCAAATGATTTTACTCTTTGCAAAGGGTTTACTTCGAATTCACGCAACGTCGAGTCTTTTCTCTCGTTTGCCATACGGAATCCACACCAAGCAGCTCTCATCTGATTTTAAAGGTGCTACGCGAGTACTTGTGGAATCCGTAATCGCTATGTTTTTTTTACGTCGGCTGGTGGCGGTGATTTTTTTCTTAGTTGGCGACGCATGTGTGACTTCCACATCCGCTGAGGCACTCTTTTGCTGAATCGTCGACTTCATAATGACATGTTGACCCTTCCAATACTTTATAACGCCTAACAGCTGCAAGGTGCTCACAATGTCATATGGCTGTATGGCGGTAACCTGCGAGATTTCCCTGATCGATATGCAGGAGCCTTGGTAGTTCTCAAGCACACCAAGTATCACCGATCTCCAATATGCCCGATAGCTTATAAGACCAAGATCGCTGAGTGGTTTTTCAGGTGAGCCGACCTTGCCCTCACTCCTCGTGAGAAGGTAGCTGAAATCGATGAGAAAGCGGCCAAATCCCTGACGCTGGTAGGCGGGAATGGTGAGAATACAACTGACATTGTAATTAAGAAATGAGTTTTTCTCTTTGGAAAAGTATCCAACTAGGTGGCATCCCGTGCTGTCATACATTGTTAAACAGTAAAACAAGAAAGGTTCCACATCAAAGTAAAGTGTCTTGTGATCCAGAAATAATTTAGCTAGTAAGCATAGGTTTTGACAATACGCCTTCTGACTTTCACCGTCAACCTCAAAAAATGATAGGCGTCCTTGGCGGTAGATTTCGTCACCTGGTGGATGTCTCCATGGGCATTTGGAAAGGTGTCGGCGCAAAATGACATCAGAACTCATATACTTGAGACAGAACTCACAAAGATAAAGCGTTTCAAGCTGTTGATACTCCTGAGGATACGGAGAGTTATACCAAGTTCGAATAAGAAACTTTCCTAATTGTATCGACTGAATTCTAGAAGCATCGACGCTTTTACACTTCACCTGAAATCACAATGAAACGAACAACCAAACAGATATCATATTTTAATATCGCTCAACTTATCAAACCTAAACTCTTTTAAGGATGTATACTAAATCCCGATTTTAAAACTGTTTCTAAGCAAGAACATAGATTTTGGCGAAATTTTTGCATGATCTAAGAGCATCATTCTTAATGACCATTCACCGCGACTACAACTGTGATTTGAGAACTAAACCGCTCAGAAGGTCGTTTCAAACGTTTTCTTTGCGATTCTGCAAACCTGTTCTTGACGGCACGGGTAAATGAACTGATGTTGTCACACTGAGACTTGTTAGACTCTTGTTTGACAGAGCTTCATACATAGTACTTCAGCTGATTGTAATCTAGGTTGTACTGCGGCCATATAAAGTCATTTCAGAGCATGCTCATATTCTCAAGCAACCAACCACACGTGTGCCATTTTGCTGGAATACGCAAGACCTTCTTTTAGGCACTTTGGATATCCATGGTCCTACACCTATTCATAGAATATGTAATTAAACTTCTTTGTTGATACGTTTTCCTTTTTAGAAGAAGTAATATCCTCGTCAAAGGAAGTTTGGGAAAGGAAAGTATCCTTTATGATTATGATGAAGAAGCACCTAAGACTTTCTTGGATATATATATATATATATGGTTATTGGTTTTCTAACTGCAAGGAAATATCGCCATGATAATTTACGACAACGTTTATTATGGTGAAAATATTTCAATTAATTGGTGGAACGCCTTCTACCGTTCCGAAGATTCTACGAACAGACATGTAACAGATTTCAGTTTGTGGTTTTCGCATTATCTAGTTCACTGCAAACATTTGTTAGTAAGCAATATAGTTACTTTCCTAGTTTTCTCTTCTTCTTTAAAATCCTCTTTAGCATCATAGGAAAGAAAATTTAATACTTTTATGTTATAAACGGGAAAGGATAAAAAGGTATCGATTATAATCAGGCTTTTCTTTCTGAGAACATCTACGAGCAAAGTGTTAGCTCGAAGGCAAACGCTAGTTACGAAATGCGACGATTGTTCCATGTACATGCCTTAGCCTGCGCCTGATGAAACATATCCAAATCCACCTGAGGCACGTGTCCATCACCCCTTTCCATACGACATAGCTGTAGTGCCTTAAGTCGCTCCTTCTGCCGTTGAGCCCTTTTCATCGGACTTTCTTCTTCTCCTAACCTCAATTCCACGCCAGTAGATCCGTTTAAATTTCGACTACTTGAATCTGAATCGGGCAAACATTGACTCAGTTCTTCCTCAGTTGGGTTGTTATTGAAGCAGCGACGGTCTTGATTTAGTCGACCACGCCTCCGTCTGGCCTTTAACTCCATTGCACATTCACCTCCTCGGCCTCCAGGCGCACGACGCCTCGATGCATTAACACTGATACTGGGAGTTTTTACACGACTCTCACAGCCCTTAATGCATCGAGCGCACCGCATTCCTATTAAAAAGTACAGGAAAGGGATGTCAAGCTTCGTAGCTATTCATATATGGAAGCTCAGCTTTTTTCTTAACTGATAAGCGTTGGTATGAGCGATATTGGAAATCGACTTTACCTAAGAAGACTATAATATATTATTCAGCAATTATACCAAGCTGCCCCCATCAATAGATATGAACATGTTTTACCTTTATTAAGGTAGGTTGGTGTACTTTACACGACAAAGACTGAAGTGGTGGCTAGACTTATAAGTGGATGCATGCCATGAACTTAAATTACACAACTTAATAATTTTAGAAGTTGTCGCTAACAACTGACACGCACCTTTTGCTGGTGAAGTTTGCCCTGTAATGCATTGTTTATGCACCCCATTGGAACACGCTGAACAAGCATAAAAAATATGTGGACCTTCGGGTTGGTTGCAAACAACACATAAGCGACACTGGGGACAGCGCCATTGGTATCGAGTGCTTCTACTAGCTCCTTTTCCTCCTCCTGCAGTAGAACTTTCACTATCGTCGTTAAGGGCGGCGCCTAAGCAAAAAGGATGCGCACAACGTGTTTCACATTCAGCGCAAAAAACAAGCTCAGGAGGACGCGGACTGCGTCTGGAATCGGGTTGCGCACAAATAGCACATACTGGCAGAAGAGGGAACTCATCAGATGTTTTTCGCCGTTTGGGAGTATCTGCCCCCGGACAGTTTCCGGCCCCGACAGCAGCCGACTCGCTAACAACAGCACGGCGTTTCACAGGCGTCACTGGTGTAGCAGGAGCTTGTTGCACTTCATCAGTGTGGCGCGATGGGCGTCCTTTTCGCGGTGGCTCTGTCGGGATTGTCGACATTAAAATAACGTCCTTCGATTCGATCGACTAAAATTCAAAAAAATTTAATTTATAATGTTTTATGTAAACTACTTGTATTAAAAACACTATAATTAAGTTATAACAAGTAGTTTTATTTAGCTGCTTTTATTTTTAAATCAGGATTGTCTACTGGCTAAAAATTACAATAATAAAACACCCTTTGCAAATTTGTCGCGGTGAATTCAAAATTTCGCAGAAAAGAGAATTTTGTGAACGAAAAAATATGACCATTTTTGGTACATTTCATAAAACGTATTTTCGACGTTTATCCTAAATTTATAAAGACTGCTGCAACAAATCGGGACACGAGCACTGTCAATGACAGGGATTTTGAAGCTAAGAGGAATGTTGGTTTTGGTAACATACACTCCACTCTTGTGGGATACACGAGTTTGACCTGCACCACCTTTTTACGACCGACGTTTCGCCGTGTAGATACATATCACATTCTCAAATTGTCAAATTGTTCTCATATTGTTTAGCAATTAGATTTCTTCACAACATCGACAGAATCGAGGTGTGTTCTCTAGGCCCGTACTGATATCTTTGAACTTACTAAGCCATACTCGAGCAATCCTCTTTGCTCACAGTATATATATTTTCGGCTGTTGCGGTAGTTTCTTTTTGACATCTATAAATACCGAAATGAAGACGGTATTGAAATGCAGTGCCTTGTAACCTGAGGCGTAAATTTCTATGATCCCGCAATAAAATTAACATACTTAAACTATAATGGCACTTCAATAATTCCTATGTAGATTTTCGAATTACTTTGTAGCCTAAAATCCAAACAACTAAAAAAACTACTTTGTCTCAACAATAAAAAACCCTTAGCCGCCTCCGAAACGTGTTTCCAGCACTAGACAATTCTAGAGAAAACGCAATTAATAAACACTGCTTAATATACTCAGTAGGCAAACATATAAGATGCAGTCTCTCTTGGAAACTTTTTGGCTAACAGACATGATGATTAACATAACTGATTTTCTACAAGTGTAATACCTACAAAGAGAAAGTCAGCTTATATTAAAAAAAGTGTTTTGTGCGGCGGTTATTTCGGGAATTTTCGATAATAAAATAATTATCATTAGGTTATTTGGATTAAACTTGTTTATTTAAAGAGACTAAAACACTGCCTTCGAGCGGATAAAAAAGTGCAAAGGTATTAGAAAATAGATTCAAAGGTCAACTTTTCTTGAATCTCACCTCTTGACGTTCTTGCTTGAGTTGGTGCTGATGTTTTCCGTGATATTGCAACGACTGTTCATACTTGACTTTATTCTCAGTCTTTTCGATACGGTCGCGCCTTTTTCGTCCATGCATCGATTTGACACTGACATTTCCGTGTAACTCGGCCTGATTCAATTTTGCTACGTCTTCGCCTACCTTCTCCGCAAAAGCAGAACAGTTTTTGCGTAATAAATATTAGAAAGCTTCAATGATTATTTACAATCTAAGTTTTGACAGCCCGCAGCTAGCGATCACAAACTTCCTCGTAGATAGAGTAGTCGTAACTTGGCCGCTTACCACTCTGGCAAACTGGGTTCAAGACCGCGTATTGCCTTAAATTACGGCAGGTTGCTCCTATCTGGGGAACTGAATGATCCAAAAGTTGGGCCAAGGGAGTCTTCTTTCTCAGGTAACTTAAATTCAACATGTTTACAAACACCACCAATATTATTAGACAGCGTCCACATAAGACTCTTAGGAGTGTTGCATATTACTCAAATCAGTTATGATTGCACGTTTTTTCCAGCAATGAAACGTTATTTTGTGCATTTTTATTTTTTGTTCACTTTATCTGTTATTTTTTTATCCTAAGGCGATCTGGCACTGCTGAAAATGCCAAAAATAAACCTTTATTTGAGGAAGATTGGGAACACAGGATTTTTTAATCATGAAGGCTTCATTATGTTAAACAAATACGGGCTTTTAAAGCTTCGACTACCCGTTAGTGCTTCCCACTATGTCGGATTTTTATAAATCATATTTATTGGAGATTTATATCTGTTCTTTAATAAAGTTTGATTCAAATGGAATTAAAACATACGCTGTTAAAAGAGATTAGGTTACCTTGTTATTGTTCATACTATTTTGGATGTGATGCTGCGGAGTGGGATGATTAATAAGTAATGAAATATTTTTCTTTGGTAAGGATGCCCTTGTGGTCCTTCGGTAATGATGTCCATTCAATAGATGAGTGGTTTGAATAGCCTCCGTCGGTCCGAGAGGGCACTGCGATCGCCGCGTGACCATCTTTACACTAGCGTTTGCATCGACTCAATGTAGCCACAAACCTGAAGTTTTAAAGTGACAGTTATTCTAAAATCACTTGTATATCTCTAAATTACGCTTCTATGGACCCTAAAACAACAATAATGAAATAATTTTTATGAAAGTTAATAGAAACATACACATAAGTGTAAATATTAAACTAATGTAAACCACGCGTGTATCTAATTGAAAATGCCAAGAAGCTATAAAAAAATATACATATATAAAAAAAAGTTTAAATAACATCGCAACAAACACATTCTGCAGATGTTTTAGACATAGAAAAAAATGTTGCAAAATTATAGGATGAACAGGCGTTTTAAATTAAATTTGTAATAGTTTTTAAGTTTCGGGTTTTAAAAATGTATCTTATTGATCTCCACACACGTATTCTTGACATGCAGACGATTTTCCCAATACTCAAGAGTTGTCATCTCCTAGTTTTCACGCTTTTAAAGTACCTGAATGTTAGTGCAGAACTGCGTGTCCTGCGTTTTCAAGCCAGTACATAAGATAGCTATAAATGAGAAGATTAAAATTAACTAAAGGACGACAGGAAAAGTTATTATTACATTGATCACACAGTAACGCAGAATTGTGAATGAAACCTATCATTACTATGACCTCAAGCACGTTTCATTCAAATATAAAACTGATGACCTACAGCCATGTATTCAGAATTATACGATAGAAAATTAAATATAAATCGAATGTAAAATATAGTAGAGCGTAAAGAAGTCCAGATTATTGCTGCCACACTGCTTGGACGCGATACAAATGGAGAGACTTGAAAGATAAATTGCTCAAGTTTATTTCATTTGCGTGAAATAAACTTGACGGACACTAATGTGTACTTTCCTTAAGTAAATCAAACAGAAGAAAGCTTTTTTGATATGTTAAAGAACGATCAAGCTTACGTGAAACATTTTGATTTGAAAATTGTGAAAAAGTTTCGTTACAAGCGGACGGTTGGGATAGAGGGATAACGAATAACGATATAACGGACGCTGCGCGCAACTTTCGAGGATGCGTTCTGTATAAATAAAAGCTGTTGTTGAGAACATCTGTAGCTTTCAATCAAAGGGCAAACTAAAATTGTTTCTATAAATCCCGGTGCCACTGCACAACGTACAGCTTAGTTGGCTCACACTCGGATACTAAAAAAAGTCTACTCCTTTGATACACCATCGCACATGGCAAAGACTTCAAAGAATTCAATAAAACAAATCAGTGGTGGACATAGATGAACAGGCATATGTAAAATTGAGTGCAAAGATCAACTGATTCTTTACGTTCACTCTGTGGATATTATAGTAAACATTATATAATAAATTAGTTCATTTGCGTTTCGTACATTTGCTGTAATCTACAGCATTGAATATATGTACATTCTGTATATGTACTGTACTACATCCTGGAACACGGTGTCAGTTTTATGAGACAGCTGTCTACTTTCCATACCCGTAGCACTTATAGAGAACCCCGAAATAACCCCAAACGAATTTGTTAGCATAGGAAAGAATGCGAAACAAATATCATAAAAGTAAGTAAAATAATAAGACAAAGTCGAAACGAATAACGCAAGAGAAAGTAACATATCTGGCCGGTTCAACTACTCAAATATTAGTAAAGTACTCTGTATTTTTCGAATTAAGATAAGAATAGCTCACTACCCTTGTTGCTTCTGAGTAGGGTGGGACCAAATAATTTCTCTGATGTATCGAATTTGTTCGCATGTATGATTTGGTAAATTTAGGTATAAAACAAATATATTTAATAGTGCTCTTCTCAAGAGCACGGACCAGGCCATCGCATTGACCCCTGAACAAATTTTCTCGTTAGCGCTTACCAAATGCTAGTCTGCATTCATCATTCTATTGTATTAGTGCTGCATTAACCAATAGATGGTCTAAGAAGACAAGGGAACCACTCTGAGGTTCACAAAAACAGATATTTACTTGCTTGATCACAACGCCGCCATTTTCATAACAACTTTAACACATCACAACAACAACATTCGCTATTCTTCGTTAGACTGATCTCGCGCGCGCCACTCTTGTGGGGTTTTGAATATTTGGCGCCAAAATTCCGCCCGCCAAGATTTGAATACATTGGATTATTCGTGACTGTATACAGCTATTAATTTGTAACATTTTTTATCATGGATAGTCAAAGAGTTCAATTATTTCAAACTATATCGTGAATATGCATTTTTTAGATAGACTCATATGTGAATCTACTTAATCTAAATACAGAGCAATTATTGCTTTAGATAGATGGGTTTAGAAGAGTTAAGGCATCTCACAATTTATTGGATATTATCCGATACATAATTAATAAAATTATTAATAAAAGTAGATTGAAAAAAGAAATAATAATTCTATTATCCTCAATATTAAACCATTTTAATAGCAAAGAAGGTCGTATGATTTAATACACGCTATTTTAATTAAAGTTACTGTCTAATTGCTTCCATGAGTATTTAATCGAAAGCAAAATGTGTATATGTGTAAAATAAAAATAATTTTATTTTTAATGAATTTACAAGACCGCATTTATTTGAATGAACCACATTAGAATAACTAAAATAAAACAAATTAGGAAACTGAAAAAAATCGCTGAAATGACCCTGAAAAGTAGAAACTCACGCATTAGTGAATGATATATAAAAAGACTTGGTCAAAATCAGCTAGAAAGTTTTATCTCTTATAAAAGAAGGCTTGTTGAAATGCTTTGGATATTGCGCTTAGTAGTGAATATGAAAGAATAATATTATTTAGTACAGGTGCAAATGAACTCGAGGCCTCAGGGTTGTAAGGTCGTTGTTTCTTAAAAAAAAAGCCAGTTTCACTAGTACCGTATATTATATGCCGTCTGATGGTACACGTCTTTTAACCAACCTATTTATCTAATACGGTAATATTCACAGAGGCGCCAAGTTTTGGGATTGTATAGCCATACTTGCTTAAAGTACTTAATGCTAGTTTTATAAAGGGGACATGTTCAGTTAAAATAGGCGTGTGTTCGTTTGATTACCTAGGACCCATACATTGCAACAGAATGCTACAAAAGCTAATTGTTGAATATGATCAAATAATAAATAGAAGAGGCTTTTTTTGGTTGTTAATTTAAGTTAATACAATTAAGGGTGCATTAAAAAATGAAATATCAATATAAATGCACACATTTCACATCAGTATTATACATTTCATTAGGTAATTACACAGGCATCACAAATAAGTATTTCACGCTCAAGTGGTAATTTTCATATAAATATACAAAAACACATAGTCATTTTTACAGCAAAGGGGTCTACAGGTAGCAATGCTTCATTTCTTTTGTAAAAAAAAAAAGGTAAACATTTCTTTTGTAATCCTCATAGCAAAATCCTACTAGATGTTTGTAAGTAATATGTAATAGGTAGGAACTAAACAGGCGTTATATAGATATATAGCACCTTTATTCAGGGAGATCTGACAGAGAAGTTGTAAACGAGGTCACCAATGTCTGCGCATTAGTTCCTCATAGAAATAGGTGAAGGTTACTCCTTCAGACTTAGGATAAAGGCCACAGGGCGCAGTTGGGCAGCTGAAAGTCGAGCCTAGTCAGACGTGAGCCATTGTTGTTGTTACCAATCATTAATCAATCAACGTTTTTATCATTGTAGAGCATTGGTCTTTCCATTATAATCCACTTCTTAACTTTTTTTGTCGATCAACTAGAGGGCTTTCAAGCTAATGCTGACATAAATAAAAACAGTTGAGAATAACAAAGAGAAAAGCTCGTAAGTCTAACATTGTAATATTTAAGCATTTGTGTCACCGAACTACTGGAAAAAGTAAACAGGAACTCCATCTATATTAGAATAATATATCTCAAATAAATTTCAATATTTGCAGGTAATTCCACAAAATAGCTATAATCAAATAGTTGACTCACTGGCCGGTTTTTCATGCGTTGAATCATGAATTTTTCGTACATCACTTGAACTCGTCCCGCAAAAAGTCTTGTACACACCAAGGAAAGTGTAATTGAGAAAAAAGAAAGCAAACAGGCAACCGTTGCTTTTTTGAATTCTCGCAGCAAGCGGGCCAAATTAACTGCATCAGGCATAAGATTCCATGTATTAGGATGTTCTATACGTTTTGGAATTTCAATACAGGTGCTCCTTGAGGTATGTTTAAGTAATAGGTAGTTATTAGGACCAGTTTGATGTGGTATCTAATGGCGGTTCTATACGCAAAACTCTAAGTATTTTTTAGCTTCTGGAAACCAGTTTTCAAGGTTACGGTAGTTATGCAGGTAGATTGAATTTGAATTTTCATCATTTGTTATCTTAACGAGGCAGGCATTCTTTCCATGCCAGGCTCTCCACAGATAACATTAACTTACGACGAAGCAAAAAACCAAAACAGTACTCGAATGATATCCATGTAGATCTGGCAAGGTAGTGGCGGTTTTATCACAAGAAGCAGTGACCAGAAATCTTCTGGTAGACTAATTCCTTTTCACCTCAGTAAACAGGCTTCCGGCGTGTGTAGTTGGAACGCAAGGTTTTAGTTGATATCGGCTACCAACAAATCTGGCTTGCACCTTTCTTTTAAATAATACAATTATTGTAATATAAGCAACTCAGTCCCAGGAGGATGTTATTTATGCCAGTTCATTGTATAGAGTCCAATCTACCAAAACGGTCAACAGTATGTTTTCTTTTAGGCGGTACCAATTTTAATTAATACTTTGGGCTCCAATTTCATTGCTAAAAGATTGAGTTTTTAGTTTAGAGCACAAACTACAGCACTCATCTTTGCAATAAACCATTTCATATTCAAGTATTTATAAATAGTACCACCATTTCTACGATAATAAACGTGATTCCAACCT